ATGGCTTTGAAACGGCTCATGAGACCCCAATCAAACTCGGTACATCATGGATCGATGAAACACATATCATAATCATGATGAATATCACATTATAGAGAGGATCAAAAGTTCGTAGTATCATATATCGAAGACTGGAACCTTTGGCACGATAATACACCACACTTTTTTAACGCCTCGACAAAATCGGTTTGATTAGTGGTAAAACAATGTATAGTGTGTCCGTATAGTATCAGTTAACAAAATCGATCAATGAAATAATTCTAAAATGTCTTTTTCTGGGGAGTCCATAGGATTCTCAACATTTTTTGTTGAGTTATTGAAAGTGCCAATACATGTCACTTTTGCAGCAATCACAAGCTACATGTCATTCGTATCACTCAATATTTTGTCGCGTGCACATTTGATGGGATGACCAAATCTGGAGGTGAGACAACCTCAATTTACTTTTTTTTATGCATGACAAATTGATATTCATCATACAGGACGTGGAAAGAAATTCTGGATTGAGAAAACGAAAACCTAATCACGAATCTGCGATTGAAGGTCTATAAAAATGATGAGTAGGAATCGTTCAAGTCTGAACCCCTTGATTTGGTGGGTGGAAGTATTAAAAACGAATATTCTCAGATAAATTATGAACATGAAAAAATGGATATATATATATATATTTGAAGAGATACAATGAGTTTTCGGATTCTCTATGTGATAAAAATATCAATTCTTTCTCGGTTTATTCAACAGATAACAACTACTTTTCTGGCTATATGCCACGACAAACATTGAACACACGATAAGAATTTGAACACAAAATCTTCTGAAGTTGAGAATTTTCTTTCTCCGTCAGATAAAAATATGTATATACACATAACATCATTCCGAATATTCAACAGGAAACATTTACTTTCCTGGCTATTTGACACGTCGAATATTGAATTATATCTGTAGAACATTCGAAAAAAGAGCAAGAGAAATAAATTTTTTTTGAAATTGAGGATTGACATGATATCAATATACAGTCTGTCCAAGAAAAGGTTGAACAGCATGGGGATCTCGGAAACAGTAGGAGATACGAACTCGTTTAAATGGAGAAAAAGTTGCGCATTCGGAGGCTCATATCAAGGGCCTTCGAAAATTTTCATAATTATTTCTAGTTTTTGAGTTGTATCGAAAAAAGTGAATTTTTGGAATATCTATTTTTTTTCTTCGTTATTATTAGTGATAAAGAAGAACTGAAAATACATTTTCGTAGCAACTTTTGATGACGTTTGATGTGGTGATACCAACTTTTGTTTTCTGAATACGGTCCTGATAATTTTTTCACAGATTCTGGAAGATTTTTTTATTTAGAATTCAACCATGTATTATACAAGGTGATTCGAATGTGTTTCGACCTAGTTCTATCAAACATTGATGGATTAGGAATTGAATACTGTGAATAAAAAATATTTCACTACATCTTTCAATGCAGCGCTAAAAATTGTTGATGAATTCTTACACGAATTACTTCAACAACTTAACTTTGACAATACCTACAGAAACATTCATAACAAATCTTCAAAATGATAACTATTATTTTCTGAACAAAGATATCCTCTTCTCACAGTTCTCACATTACTAAGCATTTCTGGGGTTATTTTATTGAATGATTCTGTGACACTGTCCCTTAGTTCTTCCTCATCATCAAAGTTATTTGCGTGTACAAAGTTTTTGATATATCCCCTAAGAAAAAATCCAGCTGTGTCAATTCAGAATGAGTACCAATCCATTTTTCTGGATAAAAACTCACGGACTTCTCTGGAATTATGTACCGGATCTTGTTGAAACCAACAGTTTTGAACGCAATTGGTAAATCATCCAGAGCTTCCTCAAGATGATTCTCAAGCAAATTTTTATAACGATCGGAAGTCTGTGTTTCATGGTAAATAGAAGGACCAATAATTCCTATACCGAATATTGCATCCCACATATTAAAGCCGAAACGGTGTTGGTGTCTCGTTGTAATGTATGAATGTTCATTTTCTCGTGTACAATAATGTGTATTCTTTCTATCGAAGATACTATGATTAGTGACCATGCTTTCATCAGTCCAGATGATTGTTCGAGGGAAATCTGCAAAATTTTGACATTTCCTGGTATACCACTCACAGAATGTCCTGCGCCTTTCGTCATCGCCTGGTTTTAGCGCTTGACATATTCTGAATTGTATGGATGGAATTTTTGTTTCCGCAAAATGAAATGGGTTGTTGATTGAAACGAGTTGATGAGGTATTGGTGTGTTGACTAATTTTCCTTCAAAATAAGAAACACACATAAATCACCTTGTTCAATACATGGTTGAATTCAGAATGAAAAAAAACTTTCAGAATCTGTGAAAAAATTATCAGGACCGTATTCGAAAAACAAAAGTTGATGATGGTTCTACGAATACGAAACGTCACATGAAAAAATCGGTAGCACCACGTTGAACGTCATCAAAAGTTGCTATCAAAAAGTAGTTTCAGTTTTTCTGTGTCTCTAATAATGACAGAGAAAAAAAATAGATATTACAAAATTTGACTTTTTTAGATAGCTTTGACATTTCATACCCATGCTGGAGATATAAATACACCTTATTATAGTTTAGTATTGGAATTATAAACATCTCAGTTAAGTATTTTTGTTTTGATCAGGGAAGCCTTCGAAATTCAAATACATGCTTGATCTGTATTTTATTCGTTATTCTCGGGATGGATAACTTGTTCTTGAATAATCACGACAAGCATTAAATTTTTTGTCTCAAACAACGATATTGTTTAGCTTCATTTGATTATCAAGTCAAACACAGTGTAGTATGCCAGTATGGAGAGGAATAAATAATCACTATTATCATTGTTGATATGCTCACTAACCTAACATTTTCCACGTCTTGTTCCTATTGCTGGCACTGGCGCGGTATTTGCCATTAGAGCACCTGGTCCATACACAAATATGTCACTCTGTGGTTGTATTCATATTGAAACTACAATTCCAACATTCTAGAAAACCTAACCTGCTGTTAATGCAGGTAGAATATCCTCACCACATGAATTATTTGTCAATATTTGTTGCATTGCATACATATGGCACGGCATTGGTGGTTATACTTCACATATTTATTTGAGTCTATTGTTTCGGTTGCAGAAAAAATAGCATGTTCCATTCGGATCAAAAGTGACTTTGTTCGACTCGCAAATTTTGCTTTCGCTCGGCTTCGCTGAACGCTCCGCCTCGCAAAATTCGCTTGTCAAACAAAGTGTCACTTTTGATCAGAACAATCTACTATTTTCTACTACTGCTATGGAAAGTACTTAGCGCATTTCTCATAGCTTGCTTAGTTTCAAAACCATGTATTGCTCATAGAGTGAGAAATATTTTTTCTCACGGCACTTTGCCCACACCACATACATTTCCATGGAGAATCAACAAAAATTGACCAAAACTTAATTGGCTGGCGTTCAGCTTCGAATAGTTGTCACAACTGACTGCTTTTGATAGATATCGCAGTTTCCATCAAATATTATTCCAACAGTTCATAATAAATAATATGATGTATACACCGAGATGTGATGATTTCGATAAATACGCCATCAGAGAGATATTGGAAAAAGCTGCGAAAATTGGAATTGTTTCCGGAAATTTCAAGAAGAAAGTATGAATTAGCATACACAAAAAATTTATGGAATCTAAAAAAAATACAGAAATAAAATCTTTTTCGGAAAGTGTACTTTATCTAAATACTTTGAGGAACTAGGAAAGGCGTCTACTCTTTGGTCACAATATTCAATGTGGCATAGTGTCACATTATAAAATGAATACCAATAAGTTACATTACTTGGATTCTTTGGATAAGTGCAGTTGTAGAAAAAGTATAGTGCGCAACATGTGGGGAAAAGTACTTTTCTCACTCGTGTGTTTGCATCACTCGCCCTTCAGGCTCGCGTGTCACAAACTTTCACACTCGTGAGAAAAGTTGAACTTTCCCCACTAGTTGCACAATATATTATTTTCTACTACTTCTATGGAAAGTAGGGCATTTTCCATAGCTTACTTAGTTTCAAAACCATGTATTGCTCATACTGTGAGGAATATTTTTTCTCACGGCACTTTGTCAACACCACATTCATTTCCATGGAGAGTCAACAAAAATCGACCAAAACTTGGCTGCTATTCAGCATTGAATAGTCAACTGTCAGAAGGAGTTTTTTAATTTGGGTATAGTTCTCATTAGTGCTTTTGATAGAAATCGCATTTTCCATCGAATATTATTTCCACAATTCATAATGAATAATATGATGTATATACCGACGATTTTGATAAATACATTGCCAGAGACAGAGATATGATGGAAAAAGCCGCGAAAGTTGGATTTGTTTCCGTAAATTTTAAGAAAAAAGTATGAATTGGCATATACGAAAAATTTATGGAATCTAATAAAATTGAGAAATAAAATCTTTTTCGGAAGTGTATACTTTTTTGAAATACTTTGAGGAACTAGGAAAGGCGTCTACTCATTGGTCACAATATTCGATGCAGCATAGTGCCACATTATAAAATGGATACCAATAAGTGAGATTACTTGGGTTCTTCGAATAAGTGCAGTTGTAGAAAAAGTATAGTGTGCACTCGCCCTTCAGGCTCGTGCCACAAACTTTCGCACTCGTGAGAGATGTGAGAGATTGGGTCTATTCAATTGAATATGGAGTTTTTGACTTGAAGAAGTCAAGTCTTTACCAAATTTAATATTTTCAAACAAGTGCACTATCTTCTTTCAAACATTTACTTTTTACTGTGTAATGTTGAGATATCCAATGAAGAGGTCGATATAAGTCTGTTTACACTGAATTTCTATTTCTAAAGCATATTCCGAGTACCAAATCGATTATCAGACCTTTGATACCTCTGGAATTTATAAAAATTAAAATGAGACTAACCACGAGAAGGTTGTTGTGCTGAAATTGTAATAACCCTTCGATTCATTTTAGATGTTAACTGGGGATCTTCCACTCAAGCCCAAACCTACAAAACAGCTTTGACGACCGCCCAAAGACTGAACAATATCGGCGAGCACGTCAAAACCTACAAGCCTCAGGTTCTGGTGTTGTGCGGCAAGCCCCAGGAAAGGCCCCCTTTGGTCGATTTCGCGAACCTGATAACCAAAAACCATTCTCTGTTGGTCATCGGTGATATCGAGGATGTAAGTTGATTTATACAGGGAGTAATAAGGGGTAGGTCTACAAAAATTGAAACAAGTGGAACTGTGGATCAGTTCAAAGTATAGTCCAACGTCCATGGAACGGTGGAGATTATGTACAGGGTGAGGAAAACTCGAAGTCTCTGCTCTATTATACCCCTAATAGCACACAACGTCCTAGGGACGTCCCTATTTGGCACAATTCAAGTCCGAAAATCCAGGACCAAAAATAAGTGTCCTTGGGACGTCCCATCCCGTACATCTCATGCAATGTCCGAGCAAGGACGTCCACAGAATGTCCCAGCAGGAACATCATTTCTAATGTTCTAGAAATAGGATCCTTCAGACGAGTAGTATATATTCTGGCATGACTTGAGATCTTATGTAATGTCCCTTCTAAGACAACCATGAAATGTCCCTGATGGTATATTTCTTCAAATATCTCTACACAGACGCCCTTAATATTTCCAGGATCGTATACCAATCGAAATGTCCCTTGGGAACATCCTTCGAATGTCCCTTGGGGATAGCCGTCGGATGTTTTGATTGGTACATGAACTGACTCATCCAATGTCCTAGAAATAACGTCTTTCAGACGTCCAAGTCGGTACTTTCAATATGTTGTCCCCTGCGAGGACGTTAACTTACACATCGCTGACGAATGATTGCTCGAAGGCTATAATACTTCCCGTAACCCAGAAAAAATCGAATTCAAGAATAATTCGTACGTCCCTGGAACATCCTATGGACATCCGATTGATATCCCTCAGCGTTGCTGATCGATTGTCCTACGGATGTCCTCAGGATGTCCTTCGTAGTGCTTGATGAGTAATACTGTAGGATTCAGGTATTCCCTAGTTGATCCCCAAGTGGGACATTTGGGCGTGTGACATAATTGTGTTATCAGGGACAGGTTATGTCACGACGAGCTAGCACTTTCTTCATTTCGAGAATCAGTCGTATGAAATTCGAGATTAACACTCTCTTCGTTTAAAATATTTTCGACAATGCAGTGTTACCGCTTCTACTAGAAAGTAGCAACAACTTTGTTATTTCTAATGGAATACCCTGTATTTCATTGCATTTTTGGATTTCCCCTGAAATGGAATGATTACAGAGATATGGGGTGTTCAACATTATGATTTTTTTTGTGTAGATGCTATCAATTATTGGTCAAAAAGGCTAACATATTCCTCACTCAACTTCTGATTAATAATCTACTGATTTTTGATTGGAACGAAAACAGGGTGGTTCAAAAGTCATAAAGTAATAAAATCTTGATTTTGGAACACCCTATATCACTGTGATCATTTCCGCTAGATCCCAAGTGTTATGTATCAAAAATATTTCATACGAAGAGACCTCAATCTTGAACATCAGCATGCACATTTTCATAAATCTCTTATTACTTATTCTCAATATAAATAAAGTATGAGCTCGTCGTGACATACCGCCCTGTATAAGAAGAACAACTTTCAAGGTGTTTTATTGACATCCTAAATTCGAGCAATAACCTCAATCACCAAATAAACTCGAAATGAAGAAAAAAAAACAAAAAAACGAGGTCTTTTCTTTTTTCGTGTTCTTTCCTGGAGAAGAATGATATTATAACGATAGAAAGTAGTCAATTTTCGAATAACCTGCTTGGTAAAAGTTCTACATCCATCCGAGCATCCATCTAAATACCAGATTGAGGACTACAGTCATCAAAGTATACAAAGATTCTGCATGATTTTCACTTATACACTTCCCTATTTCTCTTAGATACTGCAGGCCATCTGGTTAGTAATATCGATGTCCACACATGTAATACCATAAGGCGAAATATGTAATTCATTATGATCACTTCAAACAAGCTCTAGCTAATGGCATGAACCTCACCAAAATCTATTCAGTACATGAAGGAAATTGATATTTATGATACATACAGAGTGGCCCATTTGAAAGGAAACCACCCTGTTGAAAGCAACTTCATGTCCAGTACACAGCTTCGCGAATGAAAGTATTCTCCATACCCAATCCTCTTCCAGGGTTCCAATTTCAGCCAGGCAAATCAGAAACGAACGAGGAAGGAATGTTGACAACATAAATATGGACCAGGCAACAATAATTCTGGAATGGGGATCCAATAACTTGGTAGATTTCAATGCAAACAAAACACAAGCATGCCTTTTCTCTAGAAAAACTGATCTCACTGTGCCCAACATGAGCTTATCAGGAGTGAGCATACGCTTGAAGACATCCATTTCGATGCTTGGTATTACTTTCAGCAATAACCATTCTTGGTAAAATCACGTGAGATCAATTGCTAAAAGTACATCCCAAAAACATGGTTTTCTGTTTCTTGCCAGGAGCTATTTCACTTCCAGTCAGCTGCTTATGATCTATAAGGCACAGATCCGATCTGTCCTCGAATACTGTTTCCATATTTGAAGTGCAGCACCCAAACATACCCTGAAACTGTTGGATTCTGTGCAAAATAGGGCAATTCTTCTCGTGGGTGATGCCTCACTCACTCACTTCTCTGGAACACCGCAGAACAGTTGGCGATCTGGCTCTATTTTATAGATATTTCGATGGACGATGCTCTTCTGAAATATCAACAAGTGTTCCTCCCTTGGCAGTCTCCGAAAGATTAACCCGTCGAGTTGAGGCTTCGCACCCCTTCGTGGTCACTTTGGAGACCTGCAGAATATCTCTTTTCAAAGACTCGTTCATCCAACGAACAGCGAGGCTCTGGAACACATTTCCAAGGGAGGTCGTGTTTCCCGAGGCATATTACCTCCAGAAATTCAAGAATAAGAACACCAAATCCTGCCTCATTTCCCTTGGTTCTCACTATGTTCTCTGACCATTACAGGATAACCCTCTTCGTGAGAACCAGAACAAAAGAATATATTTAATCTCCAATTATGAAACGATTTCAACGATTTTCTCTTCGAAATGTGGAGAAGGATGATGTGTATCTTGAAGCTGAGCAGCGGTCACTTTTTTCAGAAACCGATGCCAACTGGATCATATTCAGATGCTGAAAAATCCAGATCTCATAGCTATTAGCGAAAAATATTCAACATCAACAAAACTTTGACTGAATCACTGACAAGTTGTTCATTATGCATGAAGAAGCTTTTTATGTATTGATATTCCTAATACTAGGCTCTGCAATAACAGATAACTGCGCAGATGAATGTTGAAATATCGAATATAGAAGTAGATATTTGAACCTCAAACACTGGAATTTATCGATTTCTCCTTAACATCCTTTTTTTGTTCGTTTTAGAAACCGCTCACTCACAGGGACAGACTAACCAATACGAGAAAAGTATACGATTACCTGAGAAGCAACAAAATCAAAGCTTTCTACACCATTATCGATAATGTGTCTTTCGAATTGGGTGCCAAAGCTCTCCTGCAAACGACTGGTATTGGAAAACTGAGTCCAAACGTGCTGATGATGGGCTACAAGACGGACTGGATGACTTGCGACAAGGAAGAACTTCTAGCGTACTTCAATGTCTTGCAGTAGGTATAACTACGATATATCCAGACCCCTCACTGACTACCATTTTTTAAGTGAATACTTATTGTCCTAAAAGCACCTATGAAAGCACTGTTTTTGCTCAGAAAGTATATCACATCACCATAGCAATGATGCCTATAAGTAAAAACGAAAAGTGTGGAATTATTATCGCACGTTCACGTGGTCTTTGTTTGGTCTGTCCCAGGCAACCAGATGACGGATGATCACATCACTGTGACGTCCCTTACTGGTGATTTTTCTTCAGAGACGTCACAAACCAATTTATGACGTTATTATGACGTACTTTCTATGACGTGATAATCACAACATCGATTGAACGTCACCTAGAAGGATTAAATAAGATGTCAGTTTCATGACGTTGCATGTTTCCAAGACCATATCTAAACCATGAATACCTAAATCATCATGTGAAACCGTTAGGTTAGTGACGTACCTATATATACAGGATGGGCATTTTCAGTGACGAAAAGTTTTTAGGAAACATCGTCTTCTCATCAATTTTACACACATATATAGAAACATGTACGCCTTGGTAACTTTATATATATGCTTCTAGCTTCGATAAAAGTATAACTGATTAGAATAAAGCAACATGCAAGTTTTATTGAAATTGAATATTCCCAAAAAGTGAGAGAACACATTTTTCAAACTTCGACACCCTGTATATCTCGGAAACTAATCAAGCTATATATGTATATATAAAGATGATAATATTGGTGAACCCATAATGACACCGTCACTTTATGACGTTGCAGTGACGTATCTATGACGTCTAAAAATCACGTCGGTGTGACGTACCAATTTAGTAAGCTTTGTTATTTAGAAAATTCCTTATTAATTTGCTATTCAGATTCTTGTTAGATGACAAACAATGCATAAATATACGTTACTCAACAATATCCTTTTCATACCTATCAAACTATTCTCGGTTTTGTTTACATCTCGCCGACACAAACTACATATTTCATTATACGAATACGGGTAACTGGTTTTATTCTGATGGAGAAACGTACTAAGGGATAGGGCTGTTGAAAAGATGATTGAATGGACATGACACTGAAGGAACCACCAAGCCGACTCAACAATGCATAATCAATATTATATGTCATCAGCTGTCAGTGGTGATTATCGCCCCATGTTCGAGGATACTTTTTCACGTGTCAATACCAAATTTGAACGTCATTTTGACGTCATTCCGACGTCACAGTTTGGTGAGTGAATGATGTCAATAAACGTTAGTAATATGACGTCATTGGGATTTGACTTATACACGTCATTTATCACGTCATACGACGTTAACTCCTGACGTCACCTTGGTCATTCAACTGACGTGAAAAGACGTCACTGAAAGGTCATCTGGTTGCCTGGGGTATGCTGTGTATATTTTTTTTTTATCGCTTGGAGCGCACGAAAGGGAATCCCTATAATGTTCAAAGAACATCGTGCGTTCCTAGGGAGGATAGGGACAGGAGGTAGGTATTGGAATTTTTTTTGAACTTTTGGAGATTATATGTTGATAGGAATACTACCACAGGCAATGAATTCCAGAGTCTAGCCGTTCTATGGATGAAGGAGTCTTGATAAAGTGCTGTTCGACATCTTTCGAGGTTGACACCGAAAGGATGTACTGACTGGGCTTGTCTAGTCCGTCTGATTGGTATTGCTAGTGAATGAATGATAAATAATACTGAATTATAATATTTCAATACTTACTATCACTGAATGAACATTTATTTTCGTGAGAGTTTGAACTTTGCCCTATTCCGGATCAATGAAAACTAATAATTATTGTTTAGGTTTCGGAATTTGTCATTTTCTCATGATCTGCGAGACTTAACCTCATTGCTGTCAATGCTGTCTACACCGGTGTGGCTCGGGTCTGCACAATCTACACTCGTGACTTGGGTATTTTCTGCTATATCTTTGGTTGCGTGGTTACGAGGTGCGTGGTAGCTCTCGACCAAGATCTCGACAACGAGGAAAACTTCGAATTTAATAAAAAATATAATTTCCAAGTCGTATCACTTTCAATTCTCATTCTTCGGAAATCAATACATATTTATCCACCTTATTTTGAGCAAGATTGATTTCAACATAGATAAAAGACATATAACCAGTTATATTGAAAACAATTCAATGTTTCGTATTTTCTCAGTTCTCAGTGACAATTGGTGACGTTGATAATCAAATGAGTTACAGGATGTTTTCATTGATTGATACGAATTTGCCGTACAAAAAATCCATTTTTCATGTTGAAAACGGGAGCAGATTCGTTCCCGAAACATCCAGAGATAAGTGAAAATTTGATATTTTTCTATATACCTTCATTCCTCTTTTCCAAACCTTTTTCAATACGAATTGTCACTGAGAAGCTAGTCATTGTTTCTTTTAGGCTCTTTGATAGGAAAATTCTTTAAACGCAGTGACATTTTGGGGCAAATCATCAGATTCGTCCTCACTACACGTATATTGAAATAGTATTCTTTTTGTTTATAGAGACGAGGAGAGAAAATCCCAAAGAAATCTGGAATAATCAATTCAAGAATCATTTGAAAGTAATAGTTGAGGAATAATAACCGAGATAATAAATTTTGTGTACCAGCCAAACTGGAATAAATTCTATGAGGAATAAACAAGTGGCGTGTTGATATCAACCCTCTGATGTATTTCGTTCTATTTTTGAATTCCTCATGAAAATACAGACGTATTGCATGTATAATGTTCTATATACTCATCGTCAACTGTTTCAGAAATATTATTTACACTTCCACAGTTTACTAAACAATTTATTTATTCATTGTACGATGTTGACTGGACTATTGCGCATCCAATTCTCAGCCTAGCCTAGCCTAGCTAGAATGGTCACGCTGTTGTACATTGTTCACAAAATACAATAATCACGTGTCTTAATGCAGATTGTCATATTCTTCTCTTTGCTTTCAATTTGAATTTTCGAATATACAGTGTGTCCATTCAGTGGGTATTTCTTCGATATCTCGAAAGCCGTCGTAACCTACAGAGAAAAACTTTGAAGGACAAACTTTTTCAGTTACTAAAGTCGCTCATTTCAAAAATATTTCCAACTTTACTGGATGTTTTATGAAAGCGCGGCGACTCGGAGATAATTTTTTTCGAATGGGACACTCAGTATTATTTATTCGGAATTTGTTCCACCAAGGTTCACCTTCACATCGCTGTAAAAAAATTGAACTTGGTTGCGGCGTTGCAAAGTTATAATTGATGAACCCATTTTTAACACTATTGAAGAGTCATGTTGCATTGGGCATGGTATTTTCATTTATTGAAATTTTGAAAATATCTTTGACCTACAGTAGTAGCAAGGTCTCACGTACACCAATCAAGTTATTTTGTGATATGATCCTTTACAGGGTGCTGAAATTTACAATTTGAATATTGTAAGATTCAGATGACGTTCATTAGAATTTTCCATATAGAACACCCTATATTTCTCATCACGGATTTATTTCGACATCACTCGCTGAAGAAAAAAAATCAAAATCGGTTGCGGCGTTTTCAAATTATGAGTAATTTCCTTATGTTTATCACTATCTCAGAGCTACTGATAAGGCATGGTTCTTTTATTTGATTTAAGTGTGGGAATATTGCTTGTCACATGACATTCGAGGTTCAGGTTCTACATAGATCATTCAGGTATTTTTGCGATATATGCATTCTCCAAATTTGAAATATTCCGTAATCTTGTAAAACGTGTTTCTATTTTGTTTACATTCTTTTGTTCATTATTCATTGTTCATTATTTATCATCAAGTTTCCCAAAAGAACTCACTGGAGCACAATTATACACTGAAAAATACCTGATATACTCACAAAGACATGGATTATAAATTGAATATCTGGTTCCATCTTCTTTAGTTGGCGCATCTTTGAAAATGTTCCCTATAAGTAAGTGATTCAAGATATATTTGATTGTGGCGATGTTTGACAGGTCATTACACAAGTAATGGAAGTTTGCCAAAAATATTTTCAAAATTTGAATGAATGAATATAAACCATGCACAATTCAACATGGCTCTTCAATAATGGTAAAACTAGATTTATCAATTATAACTTGGCAACGCCGCAACCGATTCCAATTTTTTTCATAGCGATGTGAAGGTAAACCTAGAAGCAATAAATTCCGAATGAACAATACTGGGTGTTCTGTTTGAAAAACGTTTTATAAAACACCCAGTAATGTTGAAAATATTTTTGAAACAAGCAACTTTAGTAACCGGAAAAGTGTTCAAAGTTTTATTCTATAGATTATGGCTTCCGAGATATCGAAGAATCACTCACTAAATGGGCACACTGTATGATAAAGAAAAGTGAATTATGGTAGTCATATTGAAATATTATTGATAAAAATGCACTACTTCACAAACCACAAATAATTCGAGAATAATAATCTAATAGCTTGATGGAACAATAATTCACAATTGCCTTAGTTTTCACTTCTATCAGCAGTCCCCAAAGACTGCCTCCGCACTTGCTATTCAATTAACACGATTATATTAGCTTGGTATGTATGATAAAGTATGTTTGTATTGCGGAATCTTTGATCGTGAATCTGACCATCTTCAAAACGTCGAATTGAATCGTATCTCTAGACACTCATCAAGAACCATAAGCAGTAGCATAATAGATTCAGTTTTGTTCCATTATCCTGATCGAGATCGCCAGGATGGGCGATTTTTTTTTCTGGAATGAAATGGTGAATGATGTCCGCCACCAAAAATTCGAATTGATCCTTCACCAAATATTCAAATGTTCTTTTTTATCCCTTCGAATAGCTTCACAATGTTTCTTTTATATCCAAAGGTACAGATTCTTCCTTAAGCTCTTCATCTTCAGAAATGCAATAAAATACAGGGTATACTATTTGAAAGTTGTTGCTACTCTTTGATAGAAGCGGCAACACTGTATTGCTGAAAATATTTCGAATGAAGTGTGTTTTTTTAGTTTTC